TTAAGGATTTTTGTCCTGTCTTGAGCTGTCAATAGATTCATGTACCTACTATTTGAACAGAATACTAACCTGTTTCTAGGCTTTAAGTTTCAAGGAAATATCCATTACCAGTTCAAAACTGCTTTTCTTGAAATTACCAGCTGAACTTGCCATTGAAAGTAGTTAGATTACTTATGATATTGTGTGATCAACAAAATGTTGGGGGAAAAGGAATTGAAGACAATTGTAGACAGCAGAGATAGTATAATAAGAGAGTGGAAAGGGCAGAGGGTCAGACATGGGGTAAAATATATACATATATATATACACACACACACACACACACACACATATATGAAAGTATAAATGGAATATTATTGATGATAAAATGCATGGTTAAGCCACTATGCAGTTTATTCTAGATGGGAAACCACATTTAGTATGTTGTGATGATGCTCAGGGAATGAATGTAAATTAATAATAAAAAAAGTTTCAGGACTAAAAAACCCCCCAAAACACTAAAACTGTTCTTAATGAAATTTAAAAAAAATGCATATTTGATGACCGCAGTAAGCTATATATCCCCAGCTAGGTACTACTTTATAGTATGTTCATTCTACTCACTGAGGTTTATGCCTAAAGTCAGACTTGTGTTCATGTATATGTATATGTCAGCTGCGCTTGCTATTGCAAATATTTAGACTAATTAAGTTCATTATCAAATCTATTAAATGGGGGAGAAAGGCATAGAAAGCAACCATGGATACCAGAGACAATGTGGGAGGAGGGTCGGACACAGCAGAGGGTGAGGGATAGAGAATCAAGGATGGAAAAAAAAAAAGGCAAAATATACAAGACATAAGAAATGGAAAATTATTTGTTGATTACATGTATGTTGATGTGCTTGATTGAGCCAGTATACAGGGATGGAAAATTCATTTTGTATGCTGTAATGATGTACAGTGAATTAAAGTTCTTTTTCTCAGCTATTCAGTTATGGTATTGTTAGTCATTGTAACCTTAGTATATTATACTAAAATTTGTTCCTCTTCTCCATGTAGTAATGTATTACTTAATCCACATCACTTTATCTTTCTCCCCTGAACAACTTCTACAATCTTCTATTATCTGCTTCTGTGCATATAGTTGTTTACATGCCTAGAAATAGGATTGTGACATTATTCATTTTTATTTTATTATTAATATTTTTATTTAATCATTGTACTTTTTTTACAGCATGTGACATGGTTTTCCCAGCATGCATGCAGTGGTAGTTGTGGAGGGGGGAGGGAGACTTTCAGGAAATAGATAGCCAGTATACAAAATACATTTTCCCAGTATGAACATTACAATTAGTCCAGTCAAAGATATTACCAAACAAACACATTATCATTGACAGGTACTATTCCATTTTTTGTGCCCATTAAATGCTTGGCTATATTTTCCCCCTGATTACCTCCCTTGCACTCCCCCACCTCACTGTCTCTAGTATTCATAGTTCATGCTCTCCATACATTGATACATTTTCTGCCATAGAGTGCAGACACTGGGTATAAATTAAGTGGGGAAATATAATGCCTCCCTCTAATAGGCTAACTTACTTTGCTTAGCATTGAATCTTCCATATTTATCCACTTTCTATCAAATGCCAGGGTCTCATTGTTTTTTATGGTTGAGTAGTATTCCATAGTATATATGTGCCATACTTTCTCAGTCCATTTTGTTCTTAGATATTTGGATTGACTGCATGTCTTAGCAATAGTTAACAATACCTTAATAAACATGAATGTGCAAGTACTTTTCCAACTACGTGTTTGGGTAGATTTCCAGGAGTGGAATTGCTAGATTGTATGGTAGTTCTACTTGGAGGTTTTGGAGGAATCTCCATATTGTTCTCCACAGTGGCCGTACTAATTTACATTCCCACCAACAGTGTAGGAGTGTTCCCTTTCACCACATCCCCTCCAGCACTTATTAGTTTTTTGTTTGTTTTGTTTTGTTTTGCTTTGTTTTGAGAGTTTTTTTGCTACAGGGTATGTGTGCTCACCAGAAAGACAGAGAGAGAGAGACAGAGAGACAGAAAGCGAGAAATCACCCCCAGGATGAATGGCCATGCCACAATCCCTCCTCCTTCATTCTCCTCTCAGGATCTTGAGCACTCACGCACATGCGCCTGGTGTGAGTTTAAGCCACCGGGTCCAGGACTTGAACCGTGGTCAACTACATGGGAGTCCAGCGACATAGCCATTACGCAATCTGCTGGTCCCCAGTTGTTTTTTTTTTTTCTTTGAGAGATTTTCACTGTAGGGCGCGTGCGCTCGCCAGACAGACAGAGAGAGACATAGAGACAGAAAGCGAGAAATCATCCCCCGGGAGGATGGTCACGCCGCAATCCCTTCTCCTCCATTCTCCTCTCAGGATCTTGAGCACTCACGCACATGCGCCTGGTGTGAGTTTAAGCCACCGGGTCCAGGACTTGAACCGTGGTCAACTACATGGTACTCCAGCGACATAGCCATTACGCTAACTGCTGTTTCCCCCCAGTTGTTTTTTTTTTTTTTTTGAAACCTCTGCCATTCTGACTGGGATTAGGTAGTATCTCATTGTGGTTTTGAGCTGCATCTCCCTTATGATAAGGAGTGTTGAGCCTTTTCATGTTCATTTTGACTGTTCATATGTCTTCCTTAGAGAGTTGTCTGTTCAACTCACTCATTCATCTTTTAACTGGAATTATTACTATTATTATTATATTATTATTATTTTCTGGTAAGCAGCTTGAGTTCCCTGTATAGTCTGGCTATCAATATCTTATCTAAGCTATATAATATATTATGTATATTATCCAATTCTGAGGGTTGTTGCTTCACAATTTTTTTTTGAGAAGTTTTTACTGTA